GCAGCTCCGTGGGCGAGTAGACGTATAGCTTCTCATCCACGCCGAGCTGCGCCTCCCGGCCTCCAGTCGCAATCTGGAGCTCCACGCCCGTAGTTGCGACTGGTGGTGGCGCTGGTTCACCCGCCACGTGGCCGTGGGACACCAACTCGTGGCTGGCTCCCGTGTCCGCCAGAAGCAGCGGGCGACCGAGTTGGTCGCGTTTCAGCGTCGATGCACTTGCCGGCGCCGCTGCAGCAGCCGCTGCTCGCTCCAGCGCTGCGAAGTCGCCCGCCGGCAACGCCATCTTCGCCTGCGGTGGCGGGGGCCCCGCTGGCGAAGTCCAGAAGGCCTCGCCATCGGCGCCGCCTGCGAGCCTGGCGCTCGCGCCCGCGCCGCTGCCCTGGGCAGCAAGCGAGTTGAGCATCAACTGACCTCCCTCGGAACGGCCTCGAGCCTCGGCCTGCTGAAGAGCCGCCGCAAAAGCCTCGGCGGTCTTGGGCAGCGCGGGAGGCGGCCCAGATGGCTGTCCACCGCCGGCGGCAGGAGGTCCAGAAGCTCCGGCGGCGGCCGCGGCTGCATCTCCCGCCGTGCCTGCGTTGGCGACGCGGGCGGCGGGGTCAGCGCGCGGCCGCGGGCAGCTGTCGATCTTGTGATCGATGGCACCGCAGTTGAAGCACTTTCCCTCTGACTTCTCTGGCCTCCGGTGGAGGCTGGTGCACTGGGCGCCATTGCGGCAGCCGCCATCGGACTCGAAGAATCGGCAGGGCCTCTGCCCAGGCTCGCCGCTCTTGCCCTTCCCCTTAGCCTCCGGCTTCGCCTTGGCCTTCACCTTGGCCTTGGCCTTGGCTTTGGGGTCGGGCCTGGCGTTGGCATGCTGCTGGCGCTGTGTCTGCTGACGGAACTGCTGTTCGAGGGCCGCCACTTTGGCTGCCACGTTCGGCGCCTTAGCAGCCGAATCCCCCCCGCTCAGCTCTCGCGCCTCGGCCGCCAGGTAGCGCCAGTACTCGTCGACTGCAGCCTGGCTGCGCGAGCTGGCACCGGAAATGCCGCGCGACATCATCTCGTAGCTGAAGAGCCGGTGCTCGAAGCTGCGATCGTGCTCGCACATCTTCCCAACCAGCCTCCTGAGCGTGGAGAGCTGGATGGTGGGGTCGGGGGCCGCGGCGCCCAACCTCTGAAGCCGAGTCAACTCGAACTTCCACCTTTGGAGCGCCGCGTAGCACTCGGCGACGGGGGGGGCGCCTGGCAGGCCACGGCGTTCGACGGCCTTGAGGGTCGCTTCACGGTCCCTCGGCGTCCCCGGCCCCGCCTCGACGGCGGCAGCGAAGACGATCTCGCTGCGCGCCAGCTGGCGCGTCGCCAGTGCCTGGGACTGGATCGTCTCCGGCATGGCCTCCAACAGCAGCGGGCGGAACTTCATCTCCACCGCGCGCATGCCAGGCGCCTCCGCCCAGCTGCTCTGAGGACGGATCAATGGGCGACGGAGCGGGTCCAGGGAGATGCACTCCTCGCACGCCGCCCCCACGCTCGCCCGAAGCGACCCCCACCGCAACTCGATAGTCGAGTGCAGACCCGTGATCTTCAGCGTGCTCTTCTGCATCCACTCCTCGTAGACGCTGGCCTTGGACGTACCCTTGCTCCAAACAAGCTTCGGCACGTCCTCGCCCTTCACCCTGCTCAGAACCGACGCGAGGCCCGCGTCCGCTCCCGCAGCGCCGTCGCCGGGCGCTGAGCTCGCACCAGCGCCTCCGGCTGGCGGCGGCGGCGGTGGCGGCGGCGGCCCGCTCGCCCTGCCGCCGAGTGCGCCCATCTGCTGAGCGGCTGCTACGGCGGCGGCCGCCTGTGGCAAATGCCATGGCGACGGAGGCGGTGGCACCCCGCCGCTCCCTGATCCTCCAGCGCCGGCAGCGCCACTGCCAGCCCATGGCCAGCCCGCGCCCAGGCCTGGAGGTGGCTGGTCGCCCGCGAAAGCGGCGCCAAACCCGGTGCTGGATGCGCCCGCAGCCGTGGCCGCGCCGCTCGCCAGCGGTGCCGCGCCGAACGTGCTCGGCATCGGCGGTTGCAGGCTGCTGGCGCCCGCCGTGGCGATGCCAAGCAATCCTTGCTGCATCAGGGTGGCTGCGGCCGCGGACCCAGCGGCCGCGCCGCCCGCCATCGAATGCGGGCCGCCGCCGTCGGCGCCCGCGAAATCCTGCATAGCGCCGGCATTCGGCGCCAAGGCTGCGGCGGCTATGGCGTCCGCGCCGGCGGCAGCTGGAGTCTCAGCAGCGGCCTGGGGCCCTGCTTCCTCCCCCTCGTCCTCCTCCTCGGCATCGTCGCCTGCAAGCCCCTGTGGCTGAGGCGTCGCCGGCGCGAGCAGCCCAGCGCCGCTGCCTCCGCCTGGCGTGGCGCACCCGCCGGCGCGCGACTCGAGCTCGGCCCTGAGCCGCACGATCTCCGCCTCGAGAGCCGCGGCCCTGTCGCCATCGCCGGCGGCCTGGCTGATGCTGGGCGGGCCGGCGGCAAGCTGCGGCAGCGCCTGGGGCGTGTCCAAGCGAGCGGGCCCGCCGATCCTGGACGCGCCGCTCAAGGTCTGGCGCGCTCCAGCCACGGCTCCGCTGATCAGCCGCGTGGCGCCAGTGGCGACGCCGATGGCAGTGGCGCCGACCACCTGGCCGGCGAGCTGGCTGCCGCTCGCGACTGCGCGGCCCATCTGCGAGGCCATGTGGCCCGTCCACGTCGCGCGCCGCTGGGCGAGGAACGTGTCCCTAACGCCCAGGCAGGTGTAGCAGACGGGCGTCATGCTCACGACCTGCACGCAGTGCGCGTGGACCTCGGCGCTGCAGTGGCCGCAGGCGACCGAAGGTCCGACGAGAACGTCGAAGCAGGCACGGCACTGGCGGAAGTGCATCGCGACCTGCTGGTTCTGGAAGTCGGCTGTGGTAGCGTTTGGGCTCATAACCCGTCGAAGAGCTAACCGTCCGACATCTCCGTCTCCGATTCCACCGCTGCTGGATTCTCCTCCGAACATGTGTCGTCCAGGATGTCCTGCCTCCTCGCCAGTCTCCTGAGGAGCCTGAGGGCCTCTGGAGGCTCGATGGGCAATGGCTGCCCCAGATGCGGTGGTACGGGGAGTCGGAATCGTAATCTCAATAATGTGTTCACTGAGAAAGCGAGGCGAGTGAAGAGGCGCTCTCGCTCGCTATCGTCGGTTCGGGTGCGGGCCATGTTTGCGCTCAGCGCAAACGGTCCTTGAGCCAAAGTTTACGGACAGCTCGCGTCCGCAAGCGGGGGTGGCGTTGCCACCACCTCCGCCTCAAGCAACCCCGAGGCACCAAAACTGCATGCCTGAGGTGGTCCAGGAGGTGGCGTTGCCACCACCTCCTGGGCAGCACCGAGCCCTTGGCACGATGCAGGTCGAAGCGTTCCCCTAAGCACTGGCGGAAAATCTATACAACTCTTGCCGGCATTGTGATTTTGGGTGTACCGGCCTATCCGCATAAAACCGGCTCTGTGGCAATCTACACGGTCGCGGGCTGGGGGTCCTCCACCCTTGCGCGATACTGATTGTCACCATCGGGTTCCGGCAGAGCCCTGCCGGAACGCGCTGTGCGCACTTGAATCTGCAACCCCTTTGGGCCCAAAACGAATCAGGGGTGGACACGGCAAGCCCCCTCGTCCACGGGGAGGAGGGGGGGGGGGGGAGGAGGAGGAGGAGGAGGAGGAGGAGGAGGAGGAGGAGGAGGAGGAGATGCACAGGAGGAGGATGAAGAGGGCGAGGAGGAGGAGGAGGAGGAGGAGGAGGAGGAGAGGCCGCGAGCCTCGCCCCGCAGAGCGGGCGAAATCAGATGCCCCCCCCCTCCCCCCCCGAAGGAGGGGGGGCGGAGGAGGAGGCGGTGGATGGGGGGGGCGGAGGAGGAGGAGGAGGAGGAGGGGGGGGAGGAGAGGAACAGGAGGAGGAGGACGAGGAGGAGGAGGTGGAGGAGGAGGAGTAGCGATGACACTGGGCGGCTCGATAGTCGACGGGTCGTCGGCAGCTGCGCGCTCATCCTTGCATGTGTCGTAGGTCACAACCATGCGCTTCAGGGCGCCCAGCGCCTCCTCCAACTCCTCGTGCGGGAACGCGTGCAGCGCGTTTAGCATATCTGGATTGGTGGACATCGCGCCGTTCATGACGTTGCTTATAACGCGCGACATCGACACCGCAACACTAATGAACTCTGTGAACTTGTCCACTGCGTGCCCTGGCGCGCCGTCGTTCAACTCCAAACCGAGCACCTCCTGGCAGCGCTTGGCCACCGCCTCCGCCGTGTTTTCTACGGACAGCCCCCGGTTGACGCCTGCGACAGAAGGCGTGCTCACCACGTTGAAGTGGATCAAGTCCTTGACGGCGTTGTCGCAGCCCCCCCCCCCCACGTGAAACAGAGCGCGCGTGAATGATTCTCGCGCTGCGGGCGCGACATCTACCTCCGAGTGCGGCACTGCGCACGGGGAGTGCTTCAAGCGGGCTGACGAAAACTAATTGACGTAAGCGAGCAGCTGCGGGCATGGCTGGCCGAACAGCCCGAGCTTCTTCGCGTCGCTGATCGACGTGCTCCGCGCGCCAGCCAGAAACTGCCCCTCGACGCGGCGCTCCCACGGGCACGGCATGAGGCCGAACAGCAAGCAGCGCAACGCAGCGTTCTTGATCTTCAAATCGCCGGTGGTTCCGGGGCACAAAGTGGCCAAATATAGCAGACATCCTGAGCTGCGGCAGGGCGTTGGCCCTCTTGTACGGATTGTGATCCCTTATCGCCATAGTCTGCAGATTCGCGATGGTGGCAGCGCTGGAAGGCTCACCGCGCAGCGCCGCCTCAATTATGTGCTCGCCCAGCGCTGCTGACGACAACGAGGCGCTGTCATGCCCGTCCGACTCGAACCGCCCCAACTCCAAGGTGCTCTGGCCGCCCCCGTCGTGATTCCTGATGCGCCCCCTGTTCGCGTAGCTCACCAGTCCGAGTGGCGCGTCTGACTCGCTGCCCGCTGCGCTGCGCTTCGGCCGCCGCGACCGCGTAGCTCTGGGGGCGCCCCTGCCCACGCACGAAGGTGCGGGTGATGCCGAAGGTCGTGGCCAGCTGCGTCGTGGACTGTCCGTGGAGGTCGGCCACTGAGAAGCCTGCGAGGCCCTGCTGCGAGACTGCCAACGTCTGGCCGTGCATCGCGCCGGTGGCGGCTGCCGCCTGCTCTGAAGTCATTGGTGTTGATGGCCTGGCCCCCAAGCCCAGCCTGGCGCCAGGCGCTCGCGGCGGGCCCAAAGAGCCCCAAGGGCGAAAGAAGTCGTCGGGGCGCAGGCGGATGTGGCTGTCCGGCAACATCGCCGCGTTCGAGTCCCTGTAGTGCTGCGGGGTGCATACGTCCACGCTCTCCTCTCGTCCACACCGCGTTCGAACATGCTGTGGCTCCTCTTCCTCTCCTTGGTTTGGATGTGCGTTATGTACCACTTGGGGGCAGTGCCGTCGCTGGCGTTGAATTTGTCCATGACTTCGGCCTTGCGCTTCTGGCCAACGCCTAGCTCGTCGAGGGCCTCACTGATCACGGTGGGCGCGACGCGGTTGGGCATCGGTGCTGCGGGGGCTGCGCCAGCCATGGCGACGCCGCACCCTGCCCGCGCTGCCCGGGACGCTGGCGCAGCGGCCGGCTGCGGTGCCAGTAGCTCCTCCATGGTGATGTCCGCTGACGGGGTGGCCATGTCCTGGTAATTTGCAGCGCCTGCTGCGCCAGCAGCGCTGTGCGCTCCAGACGAGGAAGCCACGGCGCCTGCGTCCGCCAGAAGCGTCGGCGCCGGTCCGCCTGCGCCATGCGGCGGGGGAATGTGACGTGTCGGAGTAGTTAGCGCTGTCAATATGACGGCCAACTGGTAGCTGCCGCTCTTGTGGTTTATGCAGCTGGGCACAACGCCGGGCCTGACTTGCAGCTTGTGGTTGGCCCCGAGATTGTCCTCTAGCGCGGCGTTGCCCACGTCCATTGTCTCGCGCAGCTTGTCCTTCGCCTTAGCCGATAGCGGTGCAACCCTCGTCCAATACCACGCCGGTATCTGCTTGTGCGCGTTGAGACCGAGGCCGCTGACCACACAGCGCTTGAATACCGACATACTCATCGTCGTGCACGCCGCGTCTAGTCCCACGAACCCTCTGGGCGTCGGTGGTTTAGAGCGTTTCCTCTTCCACCCCTCCTTCTTCCCCTTCGGGGAGGGGTTTACCCCTCCCCCTACCCCCTCCCCGCTGACCTGGACAGGGGGTTCCGCGGCGCGTTGGGGCGCCCAAGATCGACCCCTGGGAGGGCTAAAATTCGACACCCCTCACGAGGATCGTGGCTCCTGAGGGGGGGACTGTAATTCGGGAACCCCCCTTCGTTGATCGATCTCCTCCAAGATGGCTCCGAGGCCCCCCAAGAGGCCCCCAGGAGGCCCCCAAGAGACCCCCAAGAGGCCCCAAGAGACCCCCCAGAGGCACCCAAGAAGCGCCCAGGAGGCCCCAAGAAGCGCCCAGGAGGCCCCCAAAGGCCCCAAGATGGCCCCAAGAGGCCCCAAGAGGCCCCCAGGAGGCCCCAAAGAGGATCCCGAACGGCCCACAGAGGCCCCCCCGAGGCACCCAAGACGCCGAAAAGCCCCTCAGGACGACCCTCTACTCGCCTGGGCGTCGTTTCTGGACGGGCTGGTGGGGATACGCGAAGCGTCTAGAAATTCTCCGCCGCCTTGTCGAGCTCCCTCTCCGTCACATCCTGAGCTAGCGCGAAGAACGGGGTGCCGCCGATGTCCGGGAAGTCTGTGTGGAACTCAGACTCATGCGCGGCGCGCCGATCCGCTGGCGCCAGTGACACCATGGCGCCGACCGCGGGCCCCCTGGCTGCCACTGGGTGCCGGACCTTCAGGTAGTAGTTATCAAAACTTTGCTTGTACAGGCAAATGGCCTGCGCGGGGCGCCGGTAGGCAGCCGGCCGCGAGGCCGTGGGAAGTCGATGAGCCGGCGGGTCACGAGGACGTGCCGATAACCGCCTGAGCCGATACAGTTTGCGGGCGGCCGACGCATGCAACGATACTGGCCCGCTCTTGCAACACACGCGCGCTCCTGTCGCGCGCGCCGCTTAATAAGCTGCAGGCGTTGGTGTTTAGTCGGCCATCCTGAGGTGGACGGCGTGCAATAAGGTGCTGTGCGAACGGCGGGCGGTGACGTACTGTCGTGATCGGTTTGTTTGTTAGGTGCGCTAGCTTGGTGCTCACTGCTGACCACCCCGCATGACTGCGCGTGGACGCCTGGCATTTACTTATTCACTGTACTGCCAGTGCAGTGTTTAACGAGGTGCCAGCAGTTCTCTGTGATAGTGCTGAGCTCCGTTGTTATTACAGCGCGTGGCTTGCACTTGTGTCAACCTTGCTTGTTTGGTGCTCAGCGCACTTGTCCTAACCTTGGTTGGTTGGGCATGTCGTCACTACTACTACTTCTACTACTACTACTACTACTACTACTACTACTACTACTATTACTACTACTACTACTACTACTACCACTGCTGCTGCTACTACTGCTTCTACTGCTACTACTACTACTACTACTACTACTACTATTACTTACGCTACTAACTTACGACGACTACTACTACTACTACGACGACTACTACTTACTACTACTACTTACTACTACTACTACTACTACTACGACTACTACTACGGACGACTACTACTACTACTACGACGACGACCGACGACGACGACGACCACGACGACGACTACTACTACTACTACTACTACGACTACTACTACTACTACGCTACTACTACTACTACTACTACTACTACTACTACTACTACTACTACTACTACTACGACTACTACTACTACTACTACTACTACTACTACTACTACTACTACTACTACTACTACTACTACTACTACGACTACGACTACTACGACTACGACGACTACTACTACTACTACTACTACTACTACTACTACTACTACTACTACTACTACTACTACTACTACTACTACTACTACTACTACTACTACTACTACTACTACTACTACTACTACTACTACTACTACTACTACTACTACTACTACTACTACTACTACTACTACTACTACTACTACTACTACTACTACTACTACTACTACTACTACTACTACTACTACTACTACTACTACTACTACTACTACTACTACTACTACTACTACTACTACTACTACTACTACTACTACTACTACTACTACTACTACTACTACTACTACTACTACTACTACTACTACTACTACTACTACTACTACTACTACTACTACGACTACTACATTATTTCCCCCCCTCTTCCTGCACCCCGCATCTTCTTCCTCCTCCTCCTTTTCCTCCTCCTCCTCCTCCCTCCTCATCCTCCTCCTCCTCCTCCTCCTCCTCCTGCTCCTCCGCCTCGTCCTCCGCCTCCTCCTCCGCCTCCTCCTCCTCCTCCTCCTCCCTCTTCTTCTCTGTTCGCGTACCCCTGTGACCTATGAGGGCGGACGACTCGAGGAACGGGCTGAGACCCACCTCCGTGAGCGCGCGGGCCGCCTGGTGAATGACGTGCGTCAGCGCGTCGAGCCTTTCCCTTTTCGGAGGGCGGCAACTGCACTCGCACACCCATCTTGGCAATGCCAGCGACGCCGACGGCAGAGACCACGATGTTCGAAGTTCGAAGTTTTGGAGCGTTTCCTTCGGTTCTCGGCGGTGTTTTGGCCTCGGGGTGCTTTCAGCAACTTCGCCTCGCCGAGGGCGTTTCGGAAGTGCCCGGATCGTCCCGAACGCCCGCTGGGGAACCAAGGTATATGACCCGAAAGTCACCTACGCTCATCGCGATAAAATCACAGCGGACGGTTTGGGACAGTTTTCGGCCTCGGGGGGCCCTCACGGGGCCCATCCTGATCCCACACTCGGTGTATATACACCCCTGACTTGGCGAGGGAGGCATGCGCATCAATCCTGGGCGCATGATCGGCCTGGCCAGGATCGGTGCAGGTGTAGACGCTGGTGCCCCGCGACCTCTGCTTCATGGCGGGCTTCCAGTAGGCCTCGACGTAATGCTCCTGCGAGTTGAAGATCGGGTGCATCACGTTGGCGTCGAGCACTTCCTCCTCTTGGGGGGTAGGGCGGGCGTGGGCGCAGCACACGGCCACGCTCCTCCTGCGTGCTTGCGGACGCGGTGCGCGGAGTGGAGGGAGAGGAGAGGAGGACGAGTGGGACAAAAGGGATGATACTGACGATGCTGATGATGGTGATCATGATGATGATGGTGATAATAATGATGATGACGACGATGGTGATTTTGTTCCATTCCTTCTGCGGGGGGGACATTATTTACTGCCCGGGGGCGAGCGCGGTCATCTCGCCAGACAGAGAGCGCGCAACGAGACAGGGCAGTGCAGCAGCCAAACTCGAAAGATACGTGGGAGAGATTGGGAGGGAGGGAGACTTCAGCCGCAGTGCTGCGGCGCGCGCCAGTACAACGACCAAGCTGCGCAGCAAGCATGTGTATGATCTGATGTCAGTCCTGCTGCCTGGGGGCGAGGGCGGCCATCCCGCCAGACAGAGAGGGCGCCACGAGACAGGACAGTCCAGCAGCCGAACTCGAGAAATACGTACCCAGCATGTTTGCACACCCTGACCCAGAGGGCCGAACAATATGGACGGTCACTGGCAGGCCCGCAAGACTATTATTGAGGCCTTCGCTTCGCGGGAGCGAAGAGCAATTTTCACAAGCCAGCCAACACCCCGTTGTACGAACTGCAGTCGGGGCTTCTTCATGCCATGAGCCCACGGCATACGGTGACAAACAACCCCAGAACGGGACAACTGAAAGCGAACATTGCCAACGATCTTCCCTCCACGGCCAGAGGACGGCAGAGTGCTGCGGCACGCGCCGCTACCGCGGTAAAACCACTCAGCAGGCAGTTAGATGGTCACGGTGATGATCACGATGATGACGGCGATGCTGATGACGGTGATGATGATGCTGACAATGGTGAGCTCGCGGCAAGGACAGGCACGAGGCAGGCGGCCAAGAGTGAGAGACGAGAAGAGGGCAGCAACGATCCATCCCTCTGCTCTGGATGCCAAGTGGGCGACTCATGACTGATGGACATGCCATCATAAGAAGTCTCAGAGCTCTGCACCTGCACCGATTGAAGATGACATGTCCGCACGGCTTCCAATACATGATCATAGAGACGCTGCCTGCGCGACTCAGCACTGAGGGAACTCCTGACATGCAAACGAGAAAGCCAAGAGCGCATGTGCCGATGTTCCGAGCGACCAGCACAACGAATGAGATGCGACCTCGCACACGAGCTCACAGACGCATGATGACCGTCATGTTGTACAGTCCCAGTCGCAGCACCTGCATCTTCAAGCGTATGACGTGCACAATCTTCAGGCATCAATTTTTCAAGCTCAAGAAGACGGCGTGGCGCTGGCAGTACGTACTCCGTCAACTTCCCGGGCCTGTCTTTTATGTTTCGGAGTCTCTCATGGATCGCACCCGAAGACAATCCAGCATTGTCACCACCACGCAAGGCGGCGCTGCCACGAAAGTGCGCCCCAGGGTCTCCCTGAGCCCGGGCGGAAAACCGAGGAGCACGGGCTTGAGAATAGGCGCTAGCAAGAATACTTCCAGCCCAAGGGTCACCGGCAAACATGCTGTCATTTGGCTTCTTTGCACCACGCGCGGCGGCGGGAGCAGCAGCATCACGAAGAGCCGCAAGGCCAACGGCATGTGTGGCGCACTGAGCACGGCGACGCGTACTGATAGAATGCATATAACCGGCGTCAGATACAGAAGCCCGAGCAGCAGAAGCAGCGGCATGCCGCGCAAAAGGATGAGGAACCCCAGTAGTGGCATCGTGGTACCCATGAATATGCATGGGTTGTGGAGAGGCTTTCGCAGATAAAGCCATCCACTGGGGAACAGACACCCTGGTATTGCCATAGCCAGCACGGGGGCAGACACAGCCGCGTACAAGAGCACGAATGGTACGGTCAGCACGCGCTGTTGCTGCGTCCTGGTTGACCATTTCTGGACAAGATCCAACATAGCGATCCCGATCACCGCGACATGGCAGCAACCGCAACCAAAACACTGAGGGGAAACTGGCATGAGCCAAATTTGCGACTGATTGCGATGATGATGGTGGTGATGATGATGATGATGATGATGATGGTGAGGAAAGGGATGATGATGAGGATGCTGAGGAGGAGGATCATTATGATGGTGGTGGTGATGGTGATAGTGGTGACCACGAATTTGCTGCGACCTCTGCTGGTGACGATGGGGAGGAAGATGATGATGGGGAGGAAGAGAACGGGGAAGCGGGGGTATGGCGAACATGAGGGGGGAGGGTCGAAGATCGGGAGGAGGAGGGGGACGAGTGAACCGCGCTTGAAGAGGAAGAGCCCGGCAAATTTAGCCGCACGGGATGTCACCACTTAAGGGTAGGCCCTTTCGCGGGTGAGGCCTGGCCCAGATATTTTAAACGGTAGTGGAGGTCCATCGACGCTGAGGGAGGAGGATCGCACGCATCTGCGCCCAGGTTGAGTCTCGCGCAGCGAAAGCTCGTGCCGCCGCATTCCCGATGTATCAAGTCAGAGGAGTAAGACGTATAGCATACTTTACTTCAGTATATGTGGTCATATCATACACTATAAGATGAAACAACTTAGGATCTGTTGAACTACATACTACGATATGTTGAAATATGGTCATCATACATGGTGATATAGACTATACTATGATCTGACCTGTGCTGATCCGAGGTCCTATCGTAAAATGTGATATGATATACTGTCTGGCCAGAAGAGATAATGTCATACATTACTATGCAAAGACAAGCTAGTATAAGGTAGCATGACGATGATATGCTTTATTAGAACCTAGCAATACCCAGTAGGGTAACAAGCGAGCCGAAGGCGTCAGAGCAAGGGCAAAACAACACACCGTAGGAAGGCAACATCAACTCCGCCTTAGAAAAGGCCCTCCTCAAAGCTGGACTGTGCGCCGCCACGCGCGGCGGCCGAACCAAAGCGGGACCACGCGCCGACGCGCATGCAACAAACTATGTGCGCAGACCTCCTTGCAGGCGCGCCTGCAGGCCCAGCCCGGGCCGCCGGACCCATGAAGTGCACAATGTCCTGCCTTTCCCCTACGTCCTCGTCCATGCCCCCTCCCCACCTCCCTCCGCCTCTTACTCCTCGTCTCACATCCCTCCTCCCCCCTCATTCCTGGCGCCTCTCCTTCCTGCTCCTCCTCCTCCACCTCCTCCTCCTCCTCTTCCTCCTCCTCTTCCTCTTACTCCTCCTCCTCCTCCTCCACCTCCTCTTCCCCCTCCTCCTCCTTCCCCCCCCCCCGTCCTCCCTCATCACTCCTCGCGCTTCTTCCTCGTCCATCTCCTCCTCACTCCTCCCTCCTCCCTCCTCCTCATCCTTCTTCCTCCTCCTCCTCCGTAGCCATTTGGGCTCAAGGCTTGTCCCACTTCGCTCTGCTTACTGCACGTGTCTTCACACAGCACTCGGCCCCGGGCTGCTCGGCATGCCGCACGGGCGCGGCGGGGCTCCGGATATGCTGCGCGGCGGCATCGCGGTGCGCCACGGGTCGTGCGTGGCTTACGCCTCGACCGCTGAGAAGGCGGGGCAGCTTGTGCTGTTTATCAGCGGGGCTGCCAGGGTGGGACCAGCTGCCGACGTGCTGAGCGACTTCCAGCAGTCCCTCCGCGAGGCCGGCGGCATCCTCGGCCGCGACCGGAAAGCGACCTCGGAGGAGGTCCGCAGAGCCCTCCACGCGCGTTCCGCTGACCTCGCCGAGAGGTGGTCGGACCAGCGCGCGGGTCGGCGCATGCTGGCGCACCCCGACCCAGAGCTCATAAGCGCCGTCCTGTCTGCGCTGCAGGCTGAGATGGGGAGTGCTGGAGCTCGTGCTGACCCGGGTGGTGATGGGCGTCTCTCTGGCATCGATGGGTCCACGGCTCCCGAAGGCGAGGCTGGCGCCGGCGGCCTGCTCGCGAAAGGCCCGCCCTCCAACACGGACCACGGCGCTGCAGGAGGCCATGTGTAAAGGGACCCATGGACACACAAACAAATAGACACAACTAACAGGATTCCCCATCTTTTCTCATATTCTGAGGGTTTCGTCTTCCCCCCCCCCTTCCCATACTTTCCACGGGATCGACGATTCATTGGGTCTGTGTGTGTTTTTCCCTCCCGAATGTCCAAATGTGCACGCTGGAGCTGCTGCAGCGCGAGATTCGGGTCGGGCGAAAGGGGGGGATAGCAAAGGGGGGGTTTGAGAATCAGCTCACGTAGCTGATTTTCCCGGCGACTCCCGGCGCCGGGAGGCGGCTATGCATCGAGGAATGGGCCCCTCGGTGGGGCCGAAACCAGCTGCATGCAGCAGATGTTGTAACCCCCCCTTTCCCAATTCCCCCCTTTCGTCCGGCCCGAGAGATAGTGGAGGCAGAGCGCAGGGCCGACTTCGAGGTCCGAGAGGCGGCCGAGCGCGTGGCGCGGGCCGGGCGCACGGCGGAGCAGCTCGCGCGGAGCACGAAGGAGGCGGAGGAGCTCGAGGAGGAGGCTCGGCGGCAGCAGGCTGCACTGCACCTGGCGCTGCAGGAGCTTCGCGGGCCCTGGAAGCGACAGGGCCGTTTTTTTACCGGTTCCGTTTTGCCGTTTTTGTTGCCGGTGCCGACGCTGTTTTTTTTTTTTTGTTTTACCGGTTCCGTCGCCGTTTCGTGACCGGTTCCGGCTCCGGCTCCAATCCTGGAGCCGTTTTTGTTGCCGTTTCCGGTCGCCGTTTTTTGCCGTTTCCATGTTCAAGGGACCTATTTTTTGGAAACGGTGAAGAAACGGCCCTGTCGTTTCCAGGGCCCACAGAGTGCAGGAGGCTGAGAGCAGTGCTGCTGCGGAGGCGGAGCTCCGAGCCCACGCCGAGCTGCGAGAGAAGCGGGCTCCAGCAGACCTGGGTGCAGCGCTTCGTGCCGCTTCGGCCCTTCCGGGAGGGTTGCCGGCAACGAGACCTACGTAGCGTTGCGGCTGTCTGAGTCCCTCCAGAGTGCAGCAGCGGGCGGGCGACGTGCATTTAGTATAGTTTGTCGCTCGATGTGTACGTGTGCGTGCGTCGTGTGCGTGCGTCGTGCGTGTGCGTCGCGCGGGTGTTGGTGAAGGGGCCCTGGGACACACAATCAATATACACAAATAAAGAATTCCCCATCTTTTCATATATTTTCAAGGTTCTTGTCTTCCCCCCCCACTTCCCATTTTTTCCCATATTTTCCCGGGAAAAAGCGATTAATTGTGTCTGTGTGTTGTTTCCCCTCCTGAGTTGGGCGCGGCACACGTGCAGGTGATGTGCACGTCCGTGTTGCGCTTTCGCTCCGCGAGCAAAAGAGGAACGGTGCCTCGGCCTCGCGCGAGCCGCAGGAGTGGGGTCAGGTTTGGCCTGCCCCCCTGCAGGGGAAAGTCTGGGCGAAGGATCAAACATACCCCCAAAATGCCCCAAGTAGCACAGCAAAAATCAAAACATCGTCCCCAGACTGTTTTTGGACCATGGTTGGATACTCCTCCTATAGAGGGTCAGGCATGTTTGGACTATGATATTTTTGGAGCCTCCTCCCATAGAGAGGGGCCAGGCCCGACCGAAGACGGGGCTCTGCCCGCGGCCGCGGGGGCCCAGCGGGCGGCAGAGGAGCGCGGCCGCCGCGGCGCCCGGGCGCGGCCCGACGGCCGGGGCCCGGCGTGGGCAGCGCGTGGGGGGGGCCTGGCCGCTCCGGGGGCGGCCGCTCGGGGCGGCTGCCCGGGGGGTCGGCCTCCCTCCGCGGGCGGCGGGCCGGCTGGCCGTGGCCTCCCGCCTCGGGGGGGCCGTCGCCCGGGCGGCCTGCGTGCGGGGCGCCCTCGGGCTCCTCGTCGCCGCCTCCCGGGGCCGTCGCTGGCGCGCTCTGGGGGCGCCAACTGGCTTCGGGCCTCTTGCGCATCTCATCTCACCTCATCCCATCCCATCCCATCCCATCTCATCCCGTCCCATCTCATCTCCTCCTGCTCCCCCTCGTCCTCATCCTTCTCTTCCCTCCTCCTCCCCCCTCCCTCCTCTCACCTCCCTCCTCCCTCTCCACTCCTTCCCCTCCCCCTCCCCCTCCCCCTCCCTCCCTCCCTCCTCCTCCCTCTCCCTCCTCCGTCCTCCCTCCTCTCCCTCCTCCTCCTCCTCCTCCTCCTCCTCCTCCTCCACTCTTCCGTCCTCCTCCTCCTCCTCCTCACTCTTCCGTCCTCCCTCCTCCATCCTCTTCCTCTTCCTCCTCCTCCGTCCTCCTCTTCCTGCTCATCCTCGTCCTCCTCCTGCCTCCTCACTCTCTCCTCCCCTCCTCCTCCCCCCCCCCCCTTCCCCCCCCCCCCCCCACAGCGCCGCGGAGCGCTCGCTCGCACCAAGAAAACAACTGCGCCTCTGCCCGCTCCCCGCCCCAGCGGTCGACCGCACACGAGGGCCGGCACAGAAAGGGGGTGGAGGCCATGCCCCGCGGGCGGCCGGCGCCCCCTCCCCGCCTCTCGCCCGAGCCCTGCCCCGCGCTGCCCGCCTCGCCCCTTCCCCGCTTGCGTTTGCCCAGAGCTCCGGCGCCCCAACACACACATTGGAGGGGCGGGTTTTCGGCCGTCTTCGGCCTCCTGGGGCCCTCGCGGGGCCTCGGGGCCCTCAAGATCAACTCGGGACGAGAAGCCGGTCCCAGGGAAGTGGTCCGGACCTCCGGGGCCCACGCATCGAACGGACGCTGCGCAGCCGGATATCTGGGTGCCTCCGACCTCCCCCCCGTTTCCTAGCCCCATTGCCCATCCTCCCTCAGCCTCCACCTTCCCCTCCTCCCTCACCCCATGTTTCCCACTCGACGATCACTCTACATACGCATATACATATATATATATATATATGTGTATATATATATATATATATGTGATAACTTCCCTCCTCTCCCCCCGTACTGTCTTGTCTTACACACCTCAATTCATGAGTTGGCACTTCCTAGTGTTTGGCTTATGTATGTCTACATCTACACATCTTAATCGGAACGTCTTCGGTATCTCAAAATTGTGTTGCCGCTGCAGCGTTAACCTCACGCTAGGATCGGCGCTTTCCTCCCGTCGTTCAGATTGGCTCTCTCGCCCCAGCGTGGGCAACTTGCGTGGACCCGAGTCCTTCCTCATCGTTGTCGCCCCCACCCCTTCGCCTCCTCCGCCTTCCCCTGGTCCTTCTGCTCCTCCCGCTCCTCCCGCTCCTCCTCCAGCTTCTGCTGCTGCCGTTTGTGCTTCTCCTCCTCATCATCTGTATCATCCTCCTTTCTTTCCTCCTCCTCCTCCTCCTCCGATTTTCCTGTTCATCCTCTTGCTCACCAGCTACCTCCTCCGCCTCCTCCTCCTCCTCCTCCTCCTCGTCCTCTTCCTCCTATGTACGAAGCTCCCGTTGCCGATTGCGAACAACATGATGATACCTGCTGGGACTTCCAGGTCCGCTGTAACACGCGTTCGCGGCAAGAGAATAAATCATCGCAGTGGGAGGGAACTGCTTGGCGCCGAGGTAGGATGTGGGGGTCGGACTTGTTAGATATGACGCGGAGGGAGGGTAGGGTTGGCGCGCAGGGAGGGCAGGTAGGGGAGGCAGGATGTGGGGGTCTGGCTAGCGCGGAGGTAAGATTGGCGCAGAGGTAGGAGAGGGGGGTAGGTTTGACGCGGAGGTAGGAGAGGGAGGGTTGGCGTGGAAGTAGGATGTGGGGGTGGGAGAGAGGGTAGGTAGGAATGTTAGGTATGGAGAAATCGTGCCTAGCTTGCCATCTTCCCCCTCTCTCGCTCCCACCGCTCTCCCCTTTCGCCCCGTTCTGGGCGTTGCTTATTGGGAGGGCGATAAATGGAGGGTGAAGACACGTGCACGTTTCGTGCCCTTTTTGGGCCCCGGAGGGCCCTGTCAGGGTCCACAAGGTGCACGACAGGTGCACGTTCCTCGCCCTCTTGTTTGAGCGACGATCAAAGACGGGTCTTACGCGAGATGGCGTAGCGACCTTGCCCGGTGGCCCACGCGGTCCGCCGGCGCGGCATGCTACATTGGATGCGAGGCGGCTACGCGCGACCACCCGCTTGCACCTTACGCGCCAATATCGGCGCAATCGAACCCAGTTGTCTCGCGGAGCTCATGTATCGCCCCCCCCCCCCCCCTCCCCCCAATTAGGGCCTGGACCCCCCCCCCTTCTCCAGTGGGGGGGAGGGCATCCCGCCGCGCCCCGCGCACTCCGCGTGGGCAGAAGACGGCGCCCTGCCCGGGGCTCCAACAGGCTCCCTCCGCCAGCCAGCCAACCAGCCCCCTTCTGTGGGGGGGAGGACAAGAGGCGGAGGCCGAGTTTGAACTTTTCGCTCCATCGGCATTGCTAATACAATCGGGTCAGCATGGCCTGGTCGTGGAGATCCCAGGGCGGTCTCGTACAAGTGGCACCTACATCAGAGATTCCATACATTCTAACGTAATTGCAAAGGGGAGTGGGGAACCCCCATCCTCCCCCCTGCCCTCCCGTCCCTTCGAGAGCACCTCCTCTGAGTTCTTCGTGAGCACGACTAAAAGCGATTGAGCCCGATGAGGGCCCATGAAGCAAAACGTCGGCGGATTAGGCTCGGGATCATGCCAGATTAAGCTGGGTTTCGCGGGATGAAGAAAGATCGCCCCGGTTTGGGCTCTTGGAGTTCTAGCAGCGCCGACTCTGAATCTAACCTCCCAGGAGTTGCATCCCAGCTGCCCCCCTCCCCCCTGTCCATCCCTTACCAGCCTCGAACGTATCCCTATCCCTAAGATTGACACGCCCAAACGCGATGACAATCTTGGGGATTCGCCCTCGAAACATAAGGGAATCCCTAAGATTGGCATCGTGATGAGGAGGTGCCCAGCATAGGGATAGGGATATGTTCCAGGCTGGTAAATCCCTGCCCCCTCCCCTCCACGCCCTGACCGCCCCTCCCAGCCCCTCGCCCAGAGCCCGTCCTCGGAGTACAGCGCCCACCCCTCCAGCTGCCCGTGCACCGCGGCGAGCACCGCCAGCGGCACCAGCAGCAGTGCCCCCGCCGCCACGGACCGGACGGCCGCCATCGCTGCTCCTTACCAGCCTGGAACATATCCCTATTCCTGTGCTGGGCACCTCCTCATCACGATGCCAATCTTAGGGATTCCCTTTCTTTTTATGAGGGCGAATCCCTAAGATTGTCATCGCCTTTTGGCGTGTCAATCTTAAGGATAGGCATGCGTTCGAGGCTGGTAAGCTCCAGGGGGGGGCGATCCGCCCCCGTCCGCTCCAGGGCGGCCCTTGGGCTCAGGCGAGCGGCGGCCGTACCGCCGCCCGAGCGCGAGCTGCAGAGGCGCCCCCTCTCGCCCAGCTGCTTCCTCGTCCTGCGCGTTCCCCTCGTCCTCGTCCTGGGCCGCCTCCTCGTCGTGCTCCTCCCCCTCTCCTAGCTTCCCTCCCCTCCCCGCCCTTCTCCGAGCTCCTCCTTTTCATCCCGTCTCACTCCGCCCTGGTTCCTCATAATCATTATTAAGCCCTCTTCCTCCTCCTCCTCCTTTTTCATGGTCCTTGTCCTCCTCCTCCTCCTCCTCCTCCTCATCCTCCCCTTCTCGAATTCGTTCTCACTAGTTCTCCTCCTTCTTCTCCTCCTCTGCCTCCTCCTCCTCCTCCTCCTCCTCCTCCTCCTCCTCCTCGTCCTCCTCCTCCTCCTCCTCCTCTCCCCCTGCTTGCTCGAATGCCCCGAGGGGGGCACAACGGCGCAACCCATGCCCGTGGCCCTCCTGGCCCTCGCGGCCAAAGCGTGAGCAGCCCCCATGGCTTGCCGACGCAGGCCCCCCGCCTTTCCCCAGGCCCGTCGTCGTTCGCCTGCACCCAGGCCCCCATCGCTTGACGACGCAGGCCCCCCGTCTCTCCCCAGGCCCGCCGTCACTCGCCTGCGCCCAGCCCCCCTGGCTTGACGAAGCAGGCCTCCCGTCTCTCCCCAGGCCCGCCGCCATTCGCCCGCACGCACGAGTGACCCGGGGCAGGAACGACCCGCGCTGCGCGGGCCTTTCGGGGGGCCGCGGGGGGGTGGGCGGCCAGACCCGAGCGCACTGTTACTTAGATGCTCATTCTGGGGACCTTCCTGGAGCCACTCGCTCCACTCGTGCGTCGAAGCTGCGTCGAACCTGAGTCGAAGCTGAGTCGAAGCTGCGTCGAACCTGAGTCGAAGCTGCGTCGAACTTGAGTCGAATCTGAGTCGAGCCTGAGTCGAAGCTGAGTCGAACCTGAGTCGAACCCGAGTCGAACAGATCCATTAGGTGGGCCCCAGGAAGGTCCCCAACACGAGCATCGACTGTTACGTGCAGCCGAGCCACGCGCGCGGCCCCGCCCTCGGGGCCGGCGGCCACGGCGCGGCCCGCCTCGCCGGCACGCTGGCGACGCAGACTGCTGCGCTCGGCCCGTGGAGTTCTGAAGGGGCCCAGGCCGCCCCCCCACCACGCACACGCAGACACACACACAGAGACACACACAGACACGCATTCACACACACACACACACCGACACACACACAGACACACAAACACAGACACACAAACACAGACACACACACACACACACACACACACACGCACACGCACACACACACAGACACTCACACGCAGACGCACACGCACACACCAACACACACCATCACACACGACCACATACCACCACACCACACCACACCGACACCGACACCGACACCGACACCGACACCGACACAGACAGAGACACACACACAGACACACAGACACAGACACACACACACACACACACACACACACACACGTCTATATGTATACATATATATATATATATGTATACATGTGTATAGGTACATGTATGTATGTGTATATATATATATACGCAAATCAGCTCAATTCCCAGGATTTCCCGTATCTGTTCGTATTTTCTGCACGTTTGTCGACTCCACCACTTCCCACATTGTCAGGATTTGCCTGGGGATCGGGGATTATTTGTGTCTGTGCGATCCACCATTACGAGCCTTTTCTTTTACTTCACCTCGGTCCAGATGGTCCCCCCTGGTCCCCCCGGTGAAAATCCACAGGCACTTTAAGAGTATCGCTTCGACAGCGTTCGTGCAAGAGCGCCACGGCAGCAAGCTACGAGGAGCTACGTAGCAGGCAGCCTGCTGCCTGCAAGTGCATAATCATCGAACTCCCCCATAGCGGCCTCCTTGGCTGCGACAGCTTTAAAGACGGCTTCGAGCAGCTACGACGGCCACCAGAACACCTACTACGACCATCAGAGCGTCAACGTCCACCAGTACGGCAACGGCCGCCCGGGCTACGGCAACCTGTCGGGCGTCTTCATCCCAGGCGGGGAAAAGTGCGACTGGCTCTAACTGGTCCCCCCTCCCTCAGATGGGCGGTCAGACGACGGCGCCGCGACAGGCACCCGGGACGACGACAGCTACGGGACGGAGGTACAGCGACAACGTCAAAAGGAGACACGACGATCCGCAGAAGGCCTCCGACTGCCAGAAGAGCTCCAAAAGGCACCAGGACGGGAAGCTGGGCACCTGCGTGGACGAGGTACATAACGGCTGCTTGAAGCTGATGTCGTCCCAAGAGAATGCCAAAGAAGCCAACGAGGAGGAGGCTGAGAAGGCAGACGACGAGCAGGATTACGAGAAGGACGGCCTGAAGGAAGAGGGCGGCATGGAGAAGCCCTACGCACTCGCGATAGCGGCACTGGTGCGCGAAGCTTTCCTCGCCAGGCGCCTCGCCATCGCGAGCCGCGCTTACATGCTACGAGGGCGTGAGGCACCAGCAGAGGTTCAGCGACCGCTAGCGGATTAGGGTCAGCTGCCGCGAGCGGATCAGGATTAGCTACTCAGTGCCAGAACGCCACGAGCCACCATGAGACCACCCCGCACGAATGGCTTTGGGCGCTCCGTCTTGGAGTCGACCCGGGCTCTAGCCTAGAGGACCACGACAAGATGGGTATCCCCCCCTAGGGATCCCCTGGGCGCCCCCCCCCCCCCATACATAGCCCTTCGGGCTACGTCGCCGAGGACCCCTGCATCGTCGCCGCGGCTGGATCCACCTGAAAGTACTGGTCGAGAGACCGCCGAGGTCGAGACGGAGAAGACAGCTGATGCCAGGTGCGTAAGGGACCCAGAGTACGAACAGCACGACCAGTACGAGAAGGACGCAGAGCACGAGTAGCAGGACGAGTGCGAGAAGGACCCAGAGCACGAGCAGCAATACGAGCGCGAAGACCTTGAGCACGAGCAGCAGGACGAGTGCGAGTCGGACCTGGAGTAAGAGCAGCAAGACGAGTACGGGGACCCAGGCCACGCCGACAAGGTCAGCTGAAATTCAGACCAAACCTCCTGAGGCCCAGAGGGGCACGAGAAGCTTTGACACTCCTGCAAAACTGGCCATCTCAGGGAGGGTGGGCTGGGCATTGCCCTCATCAGCCTCCGGCTGCACTCATCCCAACCACGCCGAGTCGATTGCTTAAAATATCGAGAGCGGCGCGGACACTAGAAGATGCACGGGCCATGTGGGAGCACAATCCAATGGGATACTTCTCATCATTCTTGGTGAGCTAGCCTCGCGGACCGTCGGAGCTTGACAGGGTGGGATGGGCGCGGCCGGTGCGACAGCACAATCTACCCTTGCAGTGTCTTTCCACATCTGGGAAGACGATACGATAACTCAAGGAACGTGCTTGTTTTTCCCGTTGCTCTCCGAACATGCAGAAGCAGGTGTCGATCATGGGCGCTGACCGCCAAGTCTTGGCCTCAAGGAGACGTGGCAATAACCACATTCACGGGATGATATATGGTCCATGGTCGCTTGTCTCTGCTGGTGTTTCATTTGCTCGAGCAAATTCACGCGGAATCGTGCAAACTCATTTCCGATCCGAATTGACTGTGCGTCGTCTGGATGGAGAAGGTTTGGAAGGCCCAGCAGGAATTCATCACTCCGAAGACGAGATGGGGGCGCTGGCCGCAAGTGCTCGGGATTTAGGATGGGCCCGAGGCCCCGAACTCTGAACCAGGTGCTGCACGGGGTGGCGATGTGCAACCCACGCACGATGCCTGCCGCGATCCAGCCTGGGACGAATCGCTGGTTCGATCGCAGCGTCGAGTCCCAGCCTGGCCCCCGAAGCGCGTCCCACTCCAGCGCCAGGTCGCCCAGTTTCCTCAGCTCGGCCGCCCGCAGCCACTGAAGATCTCGAGAGAGGCCTGCGGCCGCACCTGCCCGCGACGCAGGGAGGGAAACCGGCGTTCGAAGGCTGTGCGAGGAGAGACCTCAGCTCCATGGGCGCCAGCGGGGAGCGTGCGCAGACCTCGGGCCGGAGACGAGGCAGTGGCTCCGCGACTCGCCCCTCCCTGCGGTGCCTCTGCAAACGAGGCGGCGGAGATTCACCTGCCGCGAAGCTTGATCTCGCTGAGGGTCCCGCACTTGACGGCCTGGTCGTAGGTCGGGCCGCTGCGCCGCAGCATGTACAACTCTGGCTTCAGCACCTCGGCTCCGCAGTGGCGGGCCGCCAAGCGAAACCTCTCGATCCACGAGCCAGCAGCAGCAGCATCACCACCACCACCATCATCAACACCACCACCACCACCACCACCACTACCGAAATCATCATCATCATCATCATCATCATCATCATCATCATCATCATCATCATCAGCATCAGCATCAGCATCAGCATCAGCATCAGCATCAGCATCATCATCATCATCATCATCATACTCATAATCATCATCATCATCATCATCATCATCATCATCATCATCATCATCATCATAGCATCAGCAGCATCAACATGGCAATCATGATCCTCACCTTCCTCCTCCTCCTCATCATCATCATCACCATCATATTCACCGTCATCATCATCAACATCATCATCGGCATCATCATCATCATCAATATCATCATCATCGTCATCATCGTCATCATCATCACCATCATCATGACCACCATCATCATCCTCTTACTTTCTAACTTTAGGTGCATCGAAAAGCCACTGGCTAACTCCAGGATGCGACTGCAGGATGTGTCCCAAGGTATTTCACTCATCTCGTGGGATGAAAGCGCAACAAATACACCAGGAGGCGTAGGAGGGACAGGATGACGAGGGAGGAGACATGATGATGAGGAGTATCTGGCGAGGAGTAGGAGGAGAAGGAGCAAGAGCAGCAACACGGCCAGGGTAAGGAGAAGCGGGAGGAGGCACGGCTGCACACTCGGTCGCCCCGAAGCCGCCGCCTGAGACCTGCGCCTCGGGCCACCTCCCTGGACGCTCTGCCCTTCTAGCCACAACCGGGGGAGCCGAGTTCCTTGCCCTGCTGGGGGGCAACTGGCATCGAAGATCTGTCGACCGTGGTGTCGAAGCCGACATCTTTCCCAAGGTAGTAAGGACCACACCTCTCCCAATTGTCCCTGACCCGTCTGCGGACCACAAACTGCGAACGGCGACGGCGGCGGCGACGATGACACGTCTCCGGGAAAGATCGCGACGAGTGCATCGATGACGTGATACTTTTCCATGTGACCTCCTACTGGGTCTCGTGCCCTGCCAAGGCTGCGAATGCGGACGGCGAGTGAGCGCAAGAGGAACGGATGATGACAACGAGGAGGAGATGGACCTGCACTCGCAATTTAGAAAAAACTGTCGGACGAGTTGGGATGTCCCCTGTGACCTAAAGGGGGTGCGCTGCGACACGTCGTCGGCGCTGGCAAGCGAGCAAAGAGACATGCGTCGCAACACATGGCTGATACCTCACCCGCGTGAAGCACAGGGCGCAAGACGGTTGCTACCACACGTGGCTCTACATCGGAACACACACGCCGTGCTCATGCGCATGTAAATGAATAGCAGTACGTGTCGTCCCACGCCTGCGCACCCTCCGGTGATACCGCGTCGTTCGGGATCAGCTCGGCGTAAAAACCTCCAGGCAACGGGAAATTCGCCGGCCCAACGGGCCAGAGGCGTGCTAAGATCTCCGGTAACTGGTTAACAATATTTCTAGTTCGCGCTCGCGGGGCGGCCCCTGGGGGCCCCCCGACGAAAAGTACCCCGGCCAGGTGCCGGCCCACTCATCCAGAGCGCTCCAGGAGCGCACCAACAGGGCTCCAAGACGTCCCCGGGCCACTCCAAGAGGGCCTCCAGTCGCCGAAAGATCGCCCATTGTCGGTCACGATGACCTGCAGATGGCCGTAGAAGCCGCCAAGAAGCCCCAAGAGCGCCTCAAGAGGCCCTCCAAGAAGGCATCAATAAGCAACAATTGTCCAATTCCCTCGGGAAGACGTATTTTTCGCATATGCAACCTCAAGGTTTCACAGCGTCCACCACTGCCTAAGAGGCCATCAATATTGCCCCAAGAAGGCCCAACAGGGCCCCAAGATGGGCCCAAGACGGAACAATAGGCGCCCAAGACGGCCCAAGAGGCGCCCAAGACGGCCCTATACGGGTCGCAAGAGCGCCACAAGACGGCCCAAGAAAGCCCCAAGACGGCCTAAGATGGCCCCAACACGGCCCAAGAGGCACCCAAGACGGCCGCAAGAGGGCCCAAGAGAGCCCAAAGACGGCCCAAGATGGCCCCAAGACGGCCCAAGAGGCCCCTCCTGGGAGCTCCTGAGACTCCTGTCAAGAGACTCGAACGACGCCGGATTCACAACAAGCCCTCAGGCAAACGGAAGAGATGCGACCATATGGGCTGGCGGAATAAGCGAAGCGATTAAATAACCCGTCCAGAGGGAGCCGCCACTATCAAAAAGCATGTATCCAACACCTGCTTCCTCGTACCTCTGCCGCACTTCTTCGAAGTAGGTCGCGTTCACGTTAGATATTGAATAATGGTTGTCCCCCCAGACTGGCCAGCAGGACTTGTAGGACCGCATGTACTCACCGTTGATGTGCTCAAGTTTGTCCTCACTACTCCTTCTCCTCCTCCTCCTCCTGATACACACCCTCATCCTTCCCTCATCCGTACATCCTCGCCCTCCTCCTCCGTCCGTCCGTTACTCCATCCCTTCTCTTCCTCCTCTTTATCATCGTCCCCCTCTGCATGCAGTCAATCCACACACTACGGCCACGCGATAAGGATGCAAGGGCCTCGGAAGGCCATGTCGACACTTGGCGAGCGGGGCGCGGCCAGCGAAAGCGGCCAAGGATGGGCCGAAAGGGGAAGGATGCAAGGGTAACCTTGGAAAGCCGCTCATCCTTAGTATGCGGGATGACTGTACTCGTCGTCCTCCTCCTCCTCCTCCTCCTCATCCTCCTCCTCCTTCTCTTCCTCCTCTTCCTCCTTATTCCTCCTCCTCCTTCTCCTCCTCCTCCTCCTCCTCCCCTCCTTGTCCTCATGGCCACCCTCGTTCTCCCTACCTGCTCCTGATCCGACGTCCGTGCTTTCCTCCATCCCTTCCCCTCCTCCTCCTCCTGATCATCCTCCCCCTCTGCCTACTCGTCGTCGTCGTCCTCCTCCTCCTCCTTCTCTTATTCCTCATCCTCTTTCTCGTCCTACTCGTCCTCCTACTCGTCCTGCTCCTCCTCCTTGTTCTCCTCCTCCTCCTCTCCCTTCCCCTCATCATCCTCATCCTCTCCCTCCTCGTCCTCATGGCCACCCTCATTATCCCTACCCTGTTCCTGCTCCTCGCTCGCGCCATCCTCCCCCAACCACCCCCTACCCTTTATTCTCTTCGAGGGTATACATAGGCGAGTGTACAACGAAAAAGCCGCGGGTACCAAACCATATGGTAGAACAATAGTTTTTAACCTTGGGTTTGTTGTATCCTCGGGTTGTTTATACCCTCTGCCTGTCTAGCCCAACCATTGATGTGCTTGGGTCTGTCCTCCAACCACGCCGTGGTGTGATCTGCAGTCGTCGTCTGGTCTGACCTGCTCCAATACATCACCTGCACGCGGACCCTCTCCGGGAACGTTACTCCGACCTGCTGTCAGACAGGGCGGAGGTGGGGCGGCGGAGCAAGCGGAGGACGAGGATGGGGACGGGGTGGACGGGGCGGAGGGGGGCGGAGAGGCAGGAAGAGGAGCGAATATTGCGCAGTCAAGACAGGATGAGAGGACGAAAGAGAGAAGGGTTGGGGCAGGGAGAGGGACAGATATCTCTATAGATATGTATATGTGTGTATATATATATATATATATATATGCGTGTGTGTACTCATCTTTATGTGTATATGTATACATATTGGGAGAGAGATATAGCGAGATAATGGGATAGCGAGAGAAAGATATAGCGAGAGAAAGAGAGAGACAAAGAGAGAGAGAGAGAGAGCACAGAGAGAGGGAGAGAGATACGCACATGCGCGCCTACGTACATATTTATTTATACGTGTATATGTGTACATATATGTGCATTTGTTTGCATCTATACATACTTGTATTTGTGTACATATAGTTGTTAACAAGGTATCCATATATACAAACACACTAGACTGACGCGCATGCTACGCGCGCTCACGTTCTCGTCGCAACTCGGCCACAGCTCTCGTTTTCGCTCGTGTCGTGGGCGGCACTGCGACTCTCCCCGTAGGTGGGTTTGGCGGAGCCTCCGTCCGCCTGTCCTCTCCTGTCCTCGCCCCTCTCGGTCATCGCCGTTGTTGTGGTCACTCTACATTTACTCAATATGGGTACTACTCTCCTCCTTCCCCTGATGACGGGTTGGGAGTGTTCGCTCCCCCCCGAGTACTGTTTTTTCACACACAGGATTCCCCGGAGTTGGGTTTTCGCCCGCATTTTTGTTCAAAATGCTGCTCTCGCTGAGGCGACGGCCTCATTTTCGGGCCCCGCTCGTTCCGAATCGTGCTCCCGCTGCAGCGCTGGCCTCATCTCCGTGCTTCCGCTCATTCCGAATCGTGCTCCCGCTGCAGCGCTGGCCTCATTTCCGCGCTTCCGCTCGTTCCCAATCGTGCTCCCGCTGCAGCGCTGGCGTCATTTCCCGTGCCATGCCACGTAATGCAACGCAATGCTAGGCTGCGTTCCGCTGCGCGATGCCATGCCTTCAGCTGAAGCTGCGATATGCCGTGCTTAAGTGCCACGTCGTGCTATGCCATGCTACGCTTTGATCTTTAACGCCATGCTATGCAATGTTATGTTCGGGGCCGCTGTGCGATGCCATACTTTGCGTTGCAAAGCTTTGTGATGCAATTATTCACTACGCCACGCCACGCCATGCTGTGACATACTACGCATTGCGGTGCTCTTCTACGCCATGCCATGCCGTGCTCTACAATGCATCGCGTACCCTTTCGGGATCATTGCCCTGCTCGACATCCGACTGTGCGAGTAGAGAGGGGATCTACGCCATGGTAAGGGATGGGAGGGAGGGGTAGGATGTCAGATATGACGCGAGCGCACCTAGCTTGCCCCCTCCCCCTCCTCCTCCTCCTCCTCCTCCTCCTCCTCCTCCTCCTCCTCCTCTTCCTCCTCCCCTTCCTTCTCTGCTCCCT